ACTTGCAGCATCAGGCAAAACGCACGACAAAGCATTACTATGGGATCTCAAGTCTTTATACGAGACCCTCGACCATGCCATCATCCATGATCATGCTCATCAGGCTAACTACCCCATAGATGTAGTGGTATATTCATTACATACATATGAATGGCCAAGACGCCTGATGCTAGAAGGATCGATTTCAGACCAGGTATACCCCACGCAAGGTAGCGCGGCAGGAGCCTCTCCAGCCACGTACGAGGCCAAGCTCTACATGTACCCGCTGATCACCTCAACCCTCTCGCCCAATGCAGCTAGCAGTATACACATCGACGATATTCCTCTCTCTGCTTGGGCGGATTCCAAGGTGCATTGTCTGGAGTCATTCGTAACGTTCGTGCTCCAGATCAAGGAAGGAATCGAAAAGCTGGCCCGTACCTTGGCATACCCCAAAATCGCCCTCGTAGCCTCCTCCACGGATCTGCTCAACGAAGGAAAGAAGCTCTTGGGAGACCTGGGAGGGGCAGCAAGTTGGGGCGCAGCCAACCTGGGCGTTGATTTTACGGCGGGCAAACACAAAAAGCATAAAGCAGCATGTGTAACAAGACATAAAAGATGGCTCCAGCTAACAGCCCGTGTCAACAGAATTCGTCGTTTAAAGGGCAGCAGAATGAAGAAGACACGAAGCCGATTCTTTGTTGTAGGAGCCAAGTCTACCATGCACTACGGAGCTGCATCCCATGGATTCACGCCAAGTGAAATCAAGCGACTACGAGGACTTGCAGCGTCTGTCTCCCCCCATCACTGCAAGCGAGCTGAAATGAACATGTGGTGGGCATCGGTGGCAGACAATGACCCGCTGAACATGATGGGCGCGTCCTTGGAACGCTGGTGTCTAGAATGGTGGTCGGCCACTTCCACCAGACCTGGGCTTAGGACCCATCGCGACAAATTATCTGCAAAGGAGCTAGCATGCGTGTTTATTAACGTCGCCAAAGCTGGACTCGCCAATTCGAAGTTCAAGACTTGGCTTGCCAAGTCGCGCGGCCCTGTTTCCCAGATGCTCCTTTGGATAAAGCAGGCAGGCTGGCAAGCCCCAGATGCAACCCATCTACTTGATAGCTATGGGTGCACTTTTAACATACTTGAATTTTCCCCGCATTGGATCTCTAAAGAGTTTGTCTGGCAGTATAAGGACAAACTGATCCAGGAATATGTTACTTCCAAGTTTCCCCCCGAGTCCCCAGTTGCACAGCAAGGACTCTGGTGGGACCTGTGCATCCCCACGCTCAGGAAGGTCTCCGAACATTTGAGTTTCCAGGAGGCCAGATGCGTCAGACATTTATTTTGCGGCTGTCTGACAACAGGCCAAACACTTGTCAAGTGGGGCTACCAGTTTGACGGACTATGCCCTTACTGCCAGCAGCTAGACACACCCTACCATCGAATCTGGCTCTGCCCCCATGCCGAGGAGGCACGCCAGGAGTTTCTTGCAGACCTCATTGAACCAGCCAAAGCAGCAGGTGAGGAAGGACTTCTATGTAACAGGCTGTGGGTCCCGAGACCCATAGTAGACCCACCAGTGGAAGATCTCCTCCCACAACATATTGGACCAGATGGTCCTTGTAATCCAGAATTAATGGCAGCGAACCTGCCCATATATGTTGATGGCAGCTGCCTAAGTCCATCCATGCCTCGCATTTCGAGAGCAGGATCTTCAGCAGTCCAGACAGACAACGAAGGCAATTTTATACGAGCTGCCAGAGCACCCTTGCCACGACAGCATCCGCAAATGTCAGGGCATGCGGAGCACCTAGGACTTTTACTAGCGGCGCAGTGGTCGGAACATCCACGGACCGCACCCAGAATTGTAGACTACTCTGGCCTAATGGAAGGGTTTTTAAAGCCCGAAGCAGTGCTCCAAGGGACCAGCATCTTTGCCACCTTTTGGCGCAAACTTGCATCCTACCTCCCTTCCGATTCCTGGCTTGAGTTGCGCAAAACCAAGGCGCATCGCAAGACAGAAGAAGCAGCAGACTCTCTAGATGATTTTGACATCCAAGGCAACAGAGCTGCATATTACCATGCAGGTGAAGCAGCTAAACTGCATGCTTTACATGCAAATGAAGTGGAGGAGCATGAGGCTGCCATGCAATTATATATGACCCTTGTCCCATGTGCAGGAAAGGTCCTTGCGCTCTGGCCCCCAGCCAGTGGCCAGACATCGCGAAGCCAGCGCCACAGAGAGCAGGTCGCCCTTTTGTCCAGGACCATGACCCAGTGTGGAATGGATCAGTTTTCAGATGCAGATCATGCCTGAAAGTGGTTAGCGCCCGCACCCGCACTTCTTGTAAACCAGTGCCAAACAAGATCAGAGGCATGGCAGCCGAAGCCAGAGGCCGCCACCATAAGATTGTGTATTGTACCATAATTGGCAGCAAGCTCCCATTAATATTCTGCAGTGAGTGTGGGGGGTTCACCTCAGGCAGAGGCTCTCCGAAGTTGCTAGGCAATTGCGCCCGTAAGATGTCCTCTGAACTGAGAAAGCTCCAGAAGCAGGAGCTCCCAGGATCTGGGGGCCTCAGAATTTCAGACCCTGCCCAGTTCGATTTCTAGCTTGCTTTGTTGTTTGCCTGCCTTTCTCGAGGGGGGGGGGGGGGCGTAGCGCCCATGCGGGTGGGCGCGATCCCTTAAAGGCGACGGAGCGTGCCTCCCCTCGAGTGTTCTTATTTGTTGAGTTTATGTTGTTGCCTCGGGGACGCTGGAGCGCGCCGAACGTCAGTGCGGATTCAGATGCGCTGGACGTCCGCGCCGAAACGTCGGGGCGGGGTGCGAGAGAGAGAGTAGACTTGCTTTATCCTCTTTCCCCCCGCCGCAGCTTCTCTGCATCGGGCGCCCCGAGAGCTCCAGGTATGATTTACAAGTGCCAGCGCCACCACCAATGTGGAGGCTGGATTCATCGGTGGAGAGCGCAGGAGAATCCCAACATTTTGTGTGGGGAGATCCGCGACGGGGTCAAGTGCAACGGGACGTGGCTCACTCCTGACCAGCTCGAGGCTCGTGACAGCGAGATCGGCCCCCCGAGGCCGCCAAGTGAGCCGCCACCCCAGCAGCTATTTCAAGCTAAGCCTGCTGTTCGTCTAATGCCAATTGTGGTGGCGAAGAAGCGCCCCGCACCGAAGCCCAGCGCGAATCCTGCCGCGCTGCCAACCCCATCCTGCCCCTCCAGCTCCAGTGCCCCTGCCCCAGTTGTGCTAGATCCAGATCCTCCCTAGTCGGAGTCAGACCCGCTCAAGCGGGCCCTCGACCAGATTGACTATATGCGCGGCAGGATCGTCGATCTCAATACTCAGAATTTAGAGCTCATGATGGAGATTGATGCCCTCAAGAGGCGCAAGAAGGAGTAGGTGCTGGGGCCTCTAGTGTGGTTTTATGAGGTTGAATGCTCCCCTTTCTGTCTATTGAGGACCCAGCTCCAACTTCTAGCTAATGAAGGGCACGCAGTGCTGCCATCCACCTCTTGTAAGGGGTCCAAGTTGCCTGGTTATGTTGTAGTGTGCTTTCTTGGACCCCTTACCCTTCCTCCCCCCCCCCCCCCCCGCGCCCCGCCGTGCGACGACGCCCTCCTGGCGCAGTCGTTGCCGAAGGGCTAGGCGGGTTTCTCTGGGGAGGAGGCAGCAGCAACGGTAGCAGCAGGATGATCCAAGGTGGATGTCCCTCTCTTTTCCTCTTTTTCCTTTCTTTAGTGGCCAGTGTGCTTGCACGGTGGACCACTGTCGCTTCTGTAATCTGCAATCTGAGGAGGACGAGGGGGGGGAGGGGAGGAGGAGGAGGAGGAGGAGGAGGAGGAGGGACGACGACGAGGAGGAGGAGGGGAGGAGGACGAGGAGGAGGAGGGAGGGGAGGGAGGGAGGAGGAGAGGAGGGGGGAGGAGGAGAGGAGGAGGAGGAGGGGGGGGAGGAGGAGGAGAGACGAGGAGGAGGAGGAAGAGGAGAGGAGAAGGAGGAGGAGGAGGAGGAGGAGGAGGGGCACGCGTGGTTCGCGAGATCTGAGCCTCTCGATGAGCACGCGTCCTGGGGGCCTCCGAGCGCCCCTTGCACTCCTCTGCCGAGCTTGGGCTGCCTGCCTCCAGCCGCGCTGCACGCACCACCAGCCAGGCAGACGACGACTGAACCAAAACCAAACCTTGTCCGCCTCGTGGCCGAACCCTCGATGAGCCTCGACTTCTGAATCACGCTCCTGCTGTCCGCCTCCCCCCTGCTTCCGCATCTGGGTGCCCCCCGTTTCCTCCTGTCCTTCGCGGCCGCCCTGTCTGTCTAGTTCCGCCCTCTTGCACTTCTGCCCCGCCACCGACGGAAAAAAAGTCTGCCTCCTCCTCCTCCTCCTCCTCCTCCTCCTCCTCCTCCTCCTCCTCCTCCTCCTCCTCCTCACCCCACCCCGCGGTCGGCGGTTTTGCCGCTGGGCCGGGCGCGCCTGCACCATCTCCGCCGACAAGGCCGCCCTGGCGGGCCGCCTCGTGCACGGCGACCGCCACGGCCTCGCCACGGGGAGGGAAAGCAGCCGCGGGAGCACAGCGGAAGGAACGAGCAGCCAACCCTAGTGAAAGGGTGCAGGGGAGAGGCGCGAGCAGCATGCTGTGTACACTGCAGCCTTTCAGGCTCAACCAGCCGGGCGGCCAGCCCGGCCGAACTGTCGGCAGAGACAGACAAATATTCCATCTCAGCTTCAGGACCGCATCTCATGGCGATGGTGACGATCATCTCAAAGACGGTAGGGCCGTTCGGCCCTGAGGAGGCGGGGGAAAAGCTCACCAGAGGTCATTCGACTCTGGTAGCGGAGCCGGAGGGCTCTGCAGGGTCGGCTGCAGTCTCTGCCGGCCCTGTGCGTGACGACCACAGCAACGGAGGACGGACGAGCCCAAGGCGTTGTACCTGTGCTACTTCGACTTCGTGTGCGGCCTTTGCGACACAGGCCACCAGGACGAGAACTGGAAGCTCTTCCTCGTCGCTTCCGGCGAGGCACTCGAGTTTCGGCAAGATCATGAAGTTCATCACGGTCATCGGCCTTCTGACTACTGCGATCAGGTGCGTGCTCTCGCTGGCGGAGCCCCAGAGGTGCAGACCGATGACGCCGCAGCGGGGCCATCGCATCGGCGAGTCGCGCCTGCCAGCACCTGCCTGGGGGCCGCATGCGCATGATCAGCAACCACAGGGCCTGCCGGCAGCAGAGTTGGCCCAGCAGAGTACGTCAAAGGTCCCGCCGTTCTGGGCTCCGTATCTCGAGCAGCGGGGCTACCCTTTCCGCCTGTGGGTCCAGGACGTGATGCTGTGGTGCGCCGCGACGGAGCTGCAGCCTCCACAGCGTGGCCCAGCTATTGTCCAGCGTGACCTCTGTCGCGAGGTGCCGGTGGATAACATCGCGCTGGGCAGGTTCGATGGGCTTGGCAACCAGATCGAGGACGGTGTGCAGATGCTGATCGCTGGACTCCGGCGCTTCGGCCCGCTTGATGTTCAGACGTCGATCAGCACTATCGTGGAGCTACTCACCTTCCGCCGTCAGGAGCGGGAGAGCGTCGACGATGCGGTCACCCGCTTCGAGGCGCTGCGCGCACGAGTGGGTCAACTCGACGATCAGTTCGTGCTCCCGACGCCCGTGCTCGCTCTGCTGTTCCTGGAAGCGATGCATGTGCCCAAGGCGGTGTACCCCCTCGTGCTGCAGAGCAACAACGGCCAGTTGCCAACGACGACGGACCAGCTGAACACGGTGATCGGCATGGTGCGGCAGCAGGGGCACTTCGCGGAGCATACGCACGCAGGACCGCAGAGCCTGGCCGAAGGCTACCGCGGCAAGGGACACCACGGGCAGCATTGGTTTACGGGCGATGGCGCCAGCGGCACAGCAACATGGAGTGGCACGGCCGCATACATGCATGGACAAAGTGCTGCCGGCGTGAGCAGCACGGGATCGGCCGCGCACGGCAACTCCTCTCAGCACTACGTTGTCCAGGACGAGGAGGGCTACGACTGCTGTGCCACCTGCGCGAGCTACCTGCGCGAGGACGAGCCGGGCGACGAGGACTCGATGACCGACGACGACGACCTGGACACCTCCGAGTTCACGCCAGAGGAGCTCCAGGAGTACTACCGCGACGCCGAGGGATGGGACTACGACGCGCTACTGCACGAGTACCTGTTTGCCAATCGCAGGTTCCGTCACTTCGTCCACCGCGGCAGCCGCCGCGCACGTTTCCCGCGCAGCAACTGGCCCATGCGCACGAGCAGCGGGAAGGGCGGCAGCTTCGGACGAGGACGTGGCCATGGCAAAGGATATCATTTCGGCGGATCAGCGGCGAATCCCGGATCCTTGGCGGGCGGCAAAGGCAAGAGGAAGAAGGGTGGCAAACATTACATGGCAGGCTCTCCGAGTGCCACCAACCCTCGGGGCAGAGACGGTCGCATCATGCGAGGTCACGAGTGCGACTCGGAGACGCACCTCGTGGCCTCCCGCCCCCAGCGCAAGGACAAGGGCAAGGGCAAGCACTTGACGGCTTGGAGCGCGCCTAGCGCCGCGACGGGTCCACAGACACCCGGCTCCCAAGCAGCGGATCCAGTGCTGGCCGCGTACTCACCTTCCCCAGCGCAGCCAGGAACAGGATCGACGGCTGGAGTACTACACTACCTCACGGGCGACATCCAGACGCCCGGCGCGCAGATCGGCGACCTCGACGAGGACGACGGCCGCGAGGCCTTGGACTGGGAGACTATCAACGTGATCGACGACATCACGGAGCACGACATGCTGGCAGAGATACATGCGAGTGCAGAGGATCGCACCGACGCGAAGACTAGCCCCGAATGGTTTCCGTGGTGGCGAGTGGACCAGCTCGAGAGCACCAACGTGGAGACCTATCTGGTCCGCACCCGCGTGAAGAACAAGAGTGGCGAAGCCTTGCTGGTGGACTCCGGGAGCCCAGGCAACCTCACTGGTGACGACTGGGGCCATCGGATGGCCGAGAAGGAGCGACAGGCCGGACTCCCACCACCAGTTCGCACGCCCCTCGGCAAGACGCTCGAAGTTGGCGGCGTGGGCTCAGGATCTCAGCAAGCGACTCATTCTCATCGTTATCAACTGGCATTGCAGGGAGGTCAAGCTGCTACCTCTGAAGCACCGGTGCTCCCGAACAGCAGCGTGCCAGCGCTGCTCGGGCGGAAGTCCCTGCGGGACCAGCGCGCCCTGCTGGGCTGCTTCAACAACAGGCTGCACCGCATCGGCCCCGGTGGCTATTCGCTGCGGCTGAGCCCTGGATCGGCGCAGTATCACCTGGAGGAAAGCCACGCTGGCCATCTCATGTTGCCCTGCGACCTGTGCGACGAGCTGGCGACATCGAGGAGTGCAGGGCCGACAAAGACCATGGCTTTGGCTACGCCAACTGCGTCCGATACTACCGCCCCGACAGCAGCGACTTCGCCAACTCCGACGGCGTCCAGCATGGCGAGCAAGAAGAGTACTGCAGCGACGTCATCCAGCAGCGGAACCGCCGCGAGCAGTTCTGGTGGGCAGCCCGACAAGGGCGGTCTGCAACTCTGATCGCAGGCTTCCCCTCTTGGTGCTCGGGACGGCCGGGGCACCAGAGAAGCACATGGGGAGACCGCCATCGGCATGGGTGTTCGGCGACATGCCAGAATGCGCTGCACGGATGCGGATACGCGGTGGGTCGCAACTGCGATGTTCACCGATTCCTCGGGCAAGAGGAAAGGTGGGCGGACTCCCTGCGCCGCCAGCGGCCGGAGCTCGCGTGGATCAGCCTTGCCCAGCCGGGTACGGCAAGGGGCACGCGCAACGACAAGCGAGCCAAGCGCTTCGAGTGCAGGATCGCTCGAGCTCAACTTGAAGGGCATCGCCCATGCGTCGTCGAGGCAGACGAGGGCAGCGCGGCGCGGGATATGCCCGACATTCTCGAGCTGCTAGACGACGGCAGGTGGCACATGAGACGACTGCGATGGTGCAACCTCGGAGTGCGCGACGCTCGAGGATTTCCAGGAGCACAGGTCACTCGCATCATCAGCAGCAGCTACTTTGACGACCACGATGCGAAGTGCCGCTGTGGTTGGCCACCTGGCCGACACGTTGCACGGAGGACAGCTGCAGATCGGCCAGACTTCAAAGCCAAGGGGGTGTCTGCCTTGGTCAAGCGGATGGTGGCCGCTGGGTGCATCGACGGCGGCATGAGATCCGACGCAGCCGACGGATCGTCGCCATCTGCAACAGCCACACCAGGCCGCGAGGCCAGGGGTGCTGCCCGACCCGGGTCGTCAGGAGTTGATCCGACGACTGCCGGGCCTCCAGGATCGCGGACAGTGGCCTTGGAAGAAGCCGATGAGGAGCAGTCACGACGTGAGTTGCGTCGCCCTGGCCGAGTCTCGTTCGCCGACGACGTCGGCGATGCCGGCTGCAAGGTGAGCGCGCTGGCCGCGAGCTTTCCCACCGAGCAGAGGACGCGCGACAAGGCGCGCAAGGCAGCAGACCCGGATCGCAAGGTGAAGAAGAGGCCGCAGGAGGTCGAACAGGTCTTCGACGACTGCGGGTCCGAATTCAGTACGAGCTGGACGAGGTCTGCTACGGCACCGAGCTCAGGGAAGATCAGTACGTCGACGAGCAGCCGTACGTGATGATGTCCGAGTTCTTTGGCATGACCGGCTCGGAGGCATATCTGAGCCAGAAGGACGAGCAGCATAACTTCTTCCACTCGACGAATGCTATGGTAAAGTATATGAATCACTACTACGGCCACCTGCAGCACGACGATGTCCCGGAGCTGTGCGGTGGAGCATCGGGAACAACACGGCTACTTGTGCGACGAGGTTACCGAGGCGGCCCCAACTTCGACCTCATCTGCAACTGCAACTTGATGACTCGCGAGGGCCAGAAGCAGTTCTGGGCATACTTGCATGACAGCAAGCCCCTCGTGCTGCTGATCAGCACACCATGCACTAGCCTGAAGGGGTTTTCGGCACTCAACAAGGTCATCAACTACGGCGGCTGGCTGCGCAGTCGCAGGATATCAGTGGCACTGGCCTGCCTGGCCGCTGCAGCAGCGTGTGTGCAGATGGACGCCGGACGCCACTTCGTGTCGGAGCAGCCACTGGGCAGCGACTTCTACAAGCTCGACGACTGGAGGTACGTTGCCAACAATTACGCGGTGGTGCGGTGCCAGGTTGACCAGTGCATGGCGGGCAAAATAGGACGTCGGACAGGACTACCGATCAAGAAGTCCTCCGAGTTCTGGGCTTCGAACGAGTGCTTGATCGGCGGGCTCAGGAAGTTCCGTTGCGACGGCCAGCATGAGCACGCTCTGCTGGCACATGGTGGCCGAGGCGCCTGCCCGGAGCAGGACAAGTGGCGCCTGGAGAATCCCAAAGATCATGCAGAGTGGGCCATAGGTATTTGCAGGGAGCTGGCCACGAGCATTTCCCGCTTGATAGAGCACTTGAGGTCTCATGGGCATCACCTTGTCGTGTTCGAGTGCTACCCCGCGACTGCGGTGCAGGCGGACGGCGCTGGCGCTGCTTCTTCTTCTTCTTCTTCTGCTGCGCCGGCAGCGGCAGCGTCAGCATTGGGATCAGCAGCAGCAGCAGCCGCAGCACCAGCAGCAGCAGCAGCAGCACCTGCCGCGGTGCGATCATGTCCAGGATGCCGGCATCATCGGCCGGCTGATCACGTATCACACGATAGAGGAGAAACATGTAAGCACAGACTGGCGAAGACGCGCGAGCTGAAGTGCCCAGCATGCCGGAGCGGCCGCGCGGTCTCAGACACACGACCCACCCGAATACCTGGATAATGTCGAGCAGACGGAGTTCTCCCGAGAGCAGTCGGACCGCGAGACCTGCGGCCACGGCAACCGCCAGCCGCTGAGGAGCCGACTGCGAATCAAGCACCAAGCGCAGCTCGAGCTGACGCGCCCGATGCCGAGCCAGAACCACCACCACCTCCACCCGTTCAAGCAGAACGGCGAGCTCGAAGAGCGGGACCCGATGATCCACTTCCACCAGCTCTGGCAGCACGGCAAGCTCGAAGAGCTCGATCAGACGGTCCACGACCTCGATCGAGACTGGCAGCAGCACTGGACGGAGCAGAGCCAGCTGAGTCGTCAGGTGGTGCCGCAGGATCTGCTGACGCCGTCGGTGAAGCACCAGGCGCGGCGCAACCTGCGGCAGCTCCAGCTGAACGGTCGATGCGGGGACTCAGGCTCGAGCTAGTGACGAGCCTGGCTGGGCCGCGTTCGACCTCGGACACGCGTTGCGGCTGCTGTACAGCCCACGTCAGGAAGTTGTTCGGCGCCAACTCCGGCGACTCCATGTTCGATTCTGGCACGCTCCAGCCGCTCGCCTCCGAGAGCTACTGACCAAGGCCGGCGCTCCTGCGTCCACACTGGCCCTGGTGAAGGAGATCTGCGACACATGCCGAGTGCGCCGAATGTGGACGAGACCGGGACCGAAGAGTATGGCAGTTTCTCGGCTCGCGACGGGCTTCAACGAAATGGTCCAGTGGGACATTCTCTACATCGGCGACCAGATGGTGGCCCACATGATCGACGAAGCGACACGCTGGACAGTGCTGAACATTCTAGACCGCAAGACGGCGATCACGATCATTGCCGGCATCACCAACGGCTGGATACGCCCTCACGGCCCCATGAAGCTGCTGATTGCCGACATCGAGGGCGGCCTCCACGGAGAGGAGGCGTATCAGTGGCTGGACCGCTGGGGCATCGAGATGAAGGCTAAGGAAGAGGGCTCGCACGCGCAGTTGGTGGAACGTCATCACGACCTAGCACGCAAAATCATACACCGAGTGCGGAGCCAGCTTGAGCAGGAAGGCATCGCGATGCCGTTGGAGATCGTGATCGCAGAGTGCGCACTCATCAAGAATCTCCTCATCACCGTGGCGGGCTTCAGTCCCTACCATGCGGTGCATGGCCGACTTCCTCCACTGCTGGCGGAGTTCGAGCCGGTGAGCGACTGTCAGATTGATGATCAGTCTGCGGGCATCCCGGGCATCTCACGACACCATCACCGACTGCGTGAGGTGGCGATGCAGGCCATGGTAGAGATGACCGCGAAGGATCGGCTGAGGCGCGCACTACGATCCAAGACACGGGCCCCTCACGAGACACTACAACTTGCGGTCGGAGATCAGGTTGACTTCCATCGACCACCGAGCACGAAAGAGGAGTCGGGCTGGCGTGGACCAGCCACCCTGCTGCAGGTTAGACCTCCAGTGCTCGTTCGATGGCAAGGCCGAGTCTTTCAAGTCCGACCACAGGATCTCCGACGCAGCCTTGTGTATTTTGTGATGTCACGAACAACATCTTCTTCGAAGCGGGGTCGCGCGACCCGGTGGCCACCATAATGAGCTACGCAGACCAGCTGGACAGCAAGGTCGTGCGCGCGGGTTGGCTCTTCGACGCCGGGTGGAAGCGGACCGCGGACAGCCAGCAGCTCAGCGAGCTGGTTCTGGCGGCGTTGCATGTGGCCGCCAGCGGCTTCTACCTGGTGGGCTGCATCGGCGCGAGAGTGGGCAATGGCGTGTCCGTGCTCGAAGGGATGGTCGGCTGTGACCACAGTTTCCTGTGGTGGTGGCGGCGTGGCCGCCCAGAGCTATCCTGGCACTACGAGGCGTCGGGTTCCGCGAGATTGAAGCTGGCACAGATCTTTGGCAAGGATCATTGGCGAGACGTGAGTTTCGCGCAGTTCATCCTGACCGACGACGAATCAGTTCGGAAACTTCGACGACGCGAACCTGAGGTGCCACATCTTGGAGGACCTTGGTTCGGCAATCTCCTACACGCGCGACGATATGAACAGCCAGAGCGACCTGAACCCGGACTATTTCAAGACCCACCTGAGCTCCAGGAGGAGGACTTCGACGTACCTTGGCAGGACAGACCGATATCTGACACGAGTATACCAAGCATGTCCAGACAGATGAGCACGACTACGCCGGGAGTACCCGACACGATATTATCCAGCGCGTCAAGACAGTCAAGCGTGTCCACGAGGAGTAGGAGTGATAGAGGACCACAGCGGCCCCGAGGACCTTCTCCGGCCCCGACCGTGCACAACGACGTCGGGCCGACAACGAGGACTGGAAGGGCATCTCCAGATATGAAGAAAGTTCGAGAGAGATCACGATCTCGTGACGCTAGGGGCCGCGATCGTGGAGCTCGAGGCTCTGGTGAGCCAGCAGCGGCAGCATAACCTTCTGCGCCACTGCGCGAGCCTGCGCTGCCGCTCAAGGAAGACAATGACGTGAATGACGACGACGATTCGGACAGCGACGCCACTCAGGAGTACGAGTTCGCCAGTTGGCAGTATATGAAGGAGCAGGCCGCACTGCCTGCGGTCGACACCGAGATCGTTCTTCTTCGCAGCCCCGGACGCAGATCACGCGATGGAGGCCATGGAGGAGGTCTCCACGAATTCCCGACCCGACTGCGTCGAGATCGGCATGGGCGCTCCGTTGATGTACTGGGTATGCCCTGAGGCAGAACACGTTCGACGTCCGGGAGCTGGCGAGATCTATGTTCTTCGCATCTACAACACGGGCCAGCGCGAGATCGTTGTCGAGCGTGAGATGAATGTGCTCACGCTGGAGGAAGCCCGAGCTCATGAGGTTGAAGTACGACAGGCGATGAAGGATGAGCTCCAGCGCTGGGCGGGATTGCAAGCATTCCAGCGATTCCCGAAGGATCAGGCGAACAACGTCATCGACTCGCGCTGGGTGCTTAAGTGGAAGGAGATTGACGGCAAGAAGCAGGTGCGTGCGAGACTCACAGTGAGGGGCTTCAAGGACATGCAGTCCCCAGAGCTGTCCACGTTTGCAGGAACGACGACACGATGGGGACAACGATTGGTGAATCAAGTGACGGCACAGCGCAGGTGGCGATTATTCTCAGCTGACATCAGCCAAGCGTTCTTGCGTGGCCTCACCTTCGAGCAGGTTGCCGCCATGGACGGGGAAGTGAAGCGGAAAGTGCAGTTCACCATGCCGCCTGGATCGATCCCCGTGTTGCGACAACTTGAAGGATACGAGGACTTCAACCCTGTGACAGAGGTGTTGTTGCTCCTTCGTCGCGGGTTCGGCCTCAAAGATGCGCCGAGGCTGTGGCAGGTCATGCTGAAGAAGGTGCTGGAGAAGACCGGCGGCAAGGCGCTCATCAGCGACCCGCAGCTCTACGTGTACCACAACGAGAAGGGCGAGCTGCAGATGATCATGTCCTCGCACGTTGACGACTTGAAGGGAGGCGGCGAGGACTACCTGAGGGAGAAGGTGCTGAGCATGATAGAAGCGGAGTTCGGGAAGCTGAAGCGCCAGCATGACAACTTCGAGTGCGTCGGCATCATGCACGAGCAGAACCCCACAACGAAGGCCATCTGGACGCACCAGCAGCACTACGTGCAGCAGCTACGCCCACTGCAAGAATATCAGTATGTAATGGAGAACGAAGATGGCCAGGTGAACGCCGAGAGTCATGCTGCATATATGTCGCTTCTCGGTGGGATCGCTTGGATGACGCAGACAATGGCACCGATTGCAGTGTATGTGAGTTACCTTCAGCGCCAAGCCAAGAAGCCGACCGTGGGTGACATCAGGAAGATCAATCGGCTGCTGAAGTGGATCATGACTCATGTGCAGCAGCTCGGAGTTCGATTCGACGCGCTGAGTCCAGACCGAGTTCGACTAGCGGTTGTCAGCGACTCAGCCTTCCACGCCATGGAGTTCGAGGGGCTGGCGATCCGAGGCTGCGTGGTCATGCTACTAGAAGCCAGCGAAGAAGTGGTACAGACGGGATCTACGTACAAAATCGTGATGCTAGACTGGTACAGTCGCAAGCAGAACAATGTGGTCAGGTCTACGTATGCGGCTGAGCTGATTGCGTTGCTAGATGCTCTTGGCACTGGGACGCTCCTTAACGTTGCACTGACCGAGATCAACGAAGGAGTATGTTCCGCCAACCAGATGCGGATGCGGCAGGAGAGCGGCAACCTGATGATAAGATGATGGCGGCCATCGACGCAAAGGCCGTGTTCGACGCCGTCTCCGCAGATGTTTTCAAGATCACGACGGACAAGCGGACGTTCGTGCCGACGTTGGCGGTGCGAGAACAGCTGGACCGTCTCCAGCTAGCGCAGCTCTGCTGGATCGACACGGTCGACATGCTGGCAGACGCGCTCACCATGGGCGAGATCGACAGGGCGCCGCTCGTGAAGCTGGGTTTCCAGAACGAGTGGCGTCTGAGCGGGCTGCAGCCTGTGGCGTTCGCCGTGCGCAGTGTGCTCTGACGCCGTGCCTCCTCGCGCAACGCAGAGCGTGAGAATTCCCGACCCGAGTGAAGGGGTGCAGGGGAGAGCGCGAGCAGCATGCTGTGTACACTGCAGCCTTTCAGGCTCAACCAGCCGGGCGGCCAGCCCGGCCGAACTGTCGACAGAGAGAGACAAATATTCCATCTCAGTTTCAGGACCGCATCTCATGGCGATGGTGACGATCATCTCAGAGA